AGCTGGAAGAGAAATGCAAAGAGTGAGCTGGACACAAAACCCCAAAGTTACTGCCAGGGGTCTAAAATAAAGGGCCAGCCTGTGGCATGGTGGTTAAGGCAGCTTATGGTCAACTGCACAGGTCCAGTCCTGGGCCAAGAGGCTTGAAAAACAAACAGGGCATGTGTATGAGTGCCCAAAATTCCAAGAGAATGAAGACAAAGAGATTATGGTGTAGCCATCCCCCCTGGGGGTGCTTTCTCACTTTCCATCTCTCGCTCTCTCTCTCTGGGGAGTGCATATGCCCTATAACAAATGTAAAAAGTAAAATAATGGGTATTAGGACACTTTCTGCAGGTACGGGATAGGAAGAAATTGAGTTGCTCAGACAACATATCCAGTTCCTGTCATATCTTGCTCTAGGCTATGCTCCTTCCTCAAAAGGGTCAGGGTTGGCTTCCAACAAATGACTGTACTACCTGAGCTCACCGGCAAACTTCAAGAGGAAAGGAGAGGTGAGGACCAAATCCCGTGCCCACACGCTTCACTTCCTGTCTTCCTTCTTCACTGCTAAGAAACTAAAGAATCAAGTGTCATACAAATAATGACTGACTGTTCTGGTAAACCAAAGGAGGGAGGAGGAGCTAAAGTCTGATTTAAAAAAAAAAAAAAAGGCTTCTGTAAGGCGCAGGTGGCTGTGAGGAAACAGGAGCTTTAGTCTTTACCCGGATCTGAAAGTGTTTATGGTCACCAATATGGACGAAATACAAAATTAGACAACAAAAGAGGATAAACGAAAAGTGAAGCCCTCGTTTCTCTCCATTCCTTTAGATGGAGATGTCAGGGGTTAACAGATATTCGTTTGGAGTTTCCTTTCTCTAGAGCCAAAAGGTTTTTGAAGACTTGGTGGTCCTACATTGTTTCCAAGAGCCACCACCGAAGGGGGACTTGAAAGCCACCTCTCCCGACACTCCAGGCTACATCTCTGCACAGGACCTGCAGGTAAACCAAGAGAAGGTATATGGGAACAAGCAGCAAGTGGGGTAACTGTCTGAGTGGGAACTGGCGACCGTGTCCTCTGGCTCACTCCGTCCTCTGGTCGTTCCTCCTTGCCATGCAGTTGAACTGGTACGTGTCTTCATGAAGTACTTTGGTAATATTCCCAGGATGCTGCCCTCATAGTCATGAGTCGGGGAAAATCTGAATCTGCAGAGGTATAGATGCCAGGGGTAGGGTTGATCCAATGATGGTAAGCTGAACTTCAGGCCCCACTGCTCACACTACCTTCTGTCCCAGGAGATTACCCGTGATCCCACAGTCAGCCTTCCCAGGAGCCCCCTACATGACCTGGCTGAAGACGATGTCCAGGAGCCTCACACCACCCACTGCCTTTACTCATGGAAACCAGGAAGACACTCTGACCCTGTACTGCCAATAGGTGCTTAGGAGAAGAGACTGAGCCATGAGTTGTCATCCATAATTTGGGATTCAGGAGCCAAGATTCTAGCCTCTTGGATCCACAAACGTAGAGGGAATCATTAGGAAGAGGACAAATGAAAGGACTGAGATGACAAAAAGGACTGTTTCAGTTTCACTGTAATGAATTTAAAGTTAAACCAGAGCTACTTCTCACTAGCCCTTTCAGCTGCAGAGCTGTAGGTTTAAAACAGGTGTTGGGTTGAATATGACAAAACCAGAGAGGCAAGGAAGACTAGGTGTATGCAATGCAGTAAATGTAAAAAATTACTTAATTTTTTTGAGAGGTTTTTGCTATAGGGTGCATGCACTCACCAGAAAGAGAGAGAAAGTGAGAAATCACTCCCCGAGGGATGGCCACACCACAATCCCTTCTCCTCCATTCTCCTCTCGGGATCTTGGGCACGCACGCACGCACGCATACACGCACACGCACCCGGCATGAGTTTAAGCCACCAGGTCTGGGACTCAAACCATGGTCAGCTACATGGAAGTCCAGTGATATAGCCATTATGCCATCTGCTGGTCCCAAGAATTATTTTTTAAAAAGATTTATTTAATTCCATTTGTCGTCATTATTTTTTAATTTGACCTCAGAGAGACAGAGAGAAAGGGAGAAAGCAAGCCGCCAGGTCCGAGACTTGAACTGTAGTCAGCCATGTGGGAATCCAGTGCCCCTATCTACCGCACCACCTGCCAACCCCAAAATCATTTAATTTTAAAAAATAGTTACAGGGCATACGCGCTCATCAGAGAGACACAAAGTGAGAAAGCAAGTCGACAGGTCTGGGAGTTGAACCATGGTCAACCATGTTGGGAGTCCAGCACCCTACCCACCATGCCACCTGCTGGTCCCTGCAATATTAATTGGTGAATTTTGGTTCAAGAAGGAGCAAAATGAAGATGTGGGAGATAAAGCCACATGAAAAGGTCTTGATTTTTTTTCCATGAAAAAAAAAAAAAAAGCACTGATAGTATCAATGGGTTATAGATCCTGGTGAAGGGATAAATCAATAGATCCAACATATAAAGGGAATCAAGTGTCGGTAGCAGCAGATGGCGTAATGGTTATGCTGCTCAACTCCCATGTAGTCAACCATGGTTTGAGTCCTGGACCTGGTGGTTTGGAGCTCATGCCAACCACATGTGTGTGTGTGTCCAAGATCCCAAGAGGAGAATGGAGGAGAAGGGACTGTGGCAGGGACATCCCCCCTGGGGAGTGATTTCTCACTTTCTGTCTTTCTGGTGAGCGCATGCACCCTACAGCAAATATCTCTATCTTGGAGGAAAAAAAAGGGGATCAAGTGAAAGATAGGAGATAACAGTGGGAAAATAGGATGCTGGATGAGATACGGAGGAATTGTAGGTCTAGAATACAACTGAAGGAATGAACAGCTTAAGTGGGTGTTAGAGAGATGACCTAGGTGGATACTGAAATCATCAAGATTTATGATGAGTAGTGTTGATGTGGTATAGTGTAATGTTTCAAAACTGAGGGGTATTAAGGCTGAGGAAAAACAGACTGGAAACAGAAAGAGGAAAAATGAGGATACCTGTACCACCTCCAAGCCCAGCAGTAAAATGAGTGTCAAAGAGAAAACGCCACCTTTACAGAGGTGGTAGGAAAAGCAAGACCCTCCCAAGAAACCAGAACTCAGTGCAAGAATGTGAAGGGAACATTCATAGAAAAGGTTGACAATAGGGGCCAGTAGGTAGCATGGTGATTAAGGGTGCGGGACTTTCACATGACTGACCATGGTTCAAATCCTGGACCTGGTGGCTGCTTTTTCACTTTCCCTCCCTCCCCCCTCTCTGGTCAAATATAAATAAATAAAAGTTAAATAAAATCTTTTTTTTTTTTTTTTTTAGGGGGGGCAGTCCATAGGGCGCGTGCACTCGCCAGAGAGACAGAGAGACACAAAGCGAGAAATCACCCCCTGAGGGGATGGCCACACCGCAATCCCTTCTCCTCCATTCTCTTCTCGGGATCTTGGGCACACACGCACACATACCCAGCAACCTGGGAACACAGCCCAAGTTGACGACGTGGGAGTCCAGCGACATAGCCATTATGCCAACTGCTGGTCCCAAAAGTTAAATAAAATCTTAAAAAAAAAAAAAAAAAAAACCTGATCTTAATGGCTGTTTAAAAAAGAAGGTTGACAATAAAAGATTTTAAAAATGACTACCTATTAACTCCAGAGAGCACTTTAGAAGTTTTAGAAATTGGAAGGACACAGACGAGAACAAAAAAGATAGAAAAATAACTAACCTAGTATAAGAGTGTAAAAGATGAGGGGCCAGCAGGTGAGATGGTGGTTAAGCACATTGGACACCCCATGTGGCCAACTGTGGTTGAGTCCTGAACCTGGCGGCTTGCTTTCTCACTTCCTCTCTCTCTCTCTCTCACTCTGTCCCTCTCTGGTCAAATTTTAAATAAATAAGTAAATAAAGTTAAATAAAAAATATATATATATTTTTGAGAGGTTTTTGCTATAGGGCACATGCACTCACCAGAAAGACAAGAGATGGACAGCGAGAAATCACCCCCCAGGGGGGATGGGCCACACCACAATCCCTTATCCTCCATTCTCTTCTCAGGATCTTGGCCACACACGCACAAGTACCCGGCGTTGGTTTAAGCCACCAGGTCCGGGACTCAAAGTACAGTCAACATGGGAGTCCAGCGACATAGCCATTATGCCAACTGCTGGTCCCAAATAAAATAATTCTTTAAAAATAAAAAAGAATATAAAAGATGAGATGACTTGGTAGTTCAGGACTTCTTGTGCTAATTGAGATAAACGAGGTAAAGGGACATAATGAGATTAGTTCTGGGGGTTGTGTGGTAGTGAAGGCTGTGTATCTGGGGTCCTCCTCAAGCTGGCCAGCAGAAGTGTATGTAGCTGTATATAGGGAAAAGGGTATGGAGAAATGAGAATTTTACCCTTAAATTATAAATTAGACCTACCTTTTGGCTACTCTGAAAGAAGTCCTAAGTACCTGCTGCAAAGAATTTAAATAATGAATGAGGGAACCAGCAGTTAGCCTAATGGCTATGTCGCTGGACTCCCATGAAGTCGACCGTGGTTCACGACCTGGACCCGGTGGCTTAAAACTCATGCTGGGTGCGTGTGTGTGCGTGCCCAAGATCCCGAGAGGAGAATGGAGGAGAAGGGATTGCGACGTGACCATCCCCTCTGGGGGGTGATTTCTCGCTTTCTGTCTCTATGTCTGTCTCTGTCTGTCTGGCGAGCGCATGCACCCTATAGTGAAAACCTCTCCGGAAAAAAAAAAAAAAAGAATTTAAATAATGAATGTAAAGCAGTTACTAAAACAATACTAAAATACTAAAGTAACACTAGTGATGACAATACTACTAAGGAGATGTCAGCATAGCACCTATGATTTCCTCTCATTCTCACCTCCCGGGCAGCTGCCACCGAGACTACCTGCAGTCAGCCACCTGCCCAACTTCTTATCCATTCACTCCACCAAGAATTTATCCAGTGCCAGCTCTACATTGATGGTCCTGAACAACAAAATCTGATAATCAACATACAAAACCAAAAATATTTTATTGCTGAAATACTTGGGGTTCCATAGGCGACCCTAAGCCTTCCTTGGAGTTCAGTCTTGCCAAGGGAGAGGGAAGTTCAGAGTCTTGTTAGGACTCACATGTCAGGATACAGACAGGCTCAGGGTCCTCTGCACTCCACTTAGGGAACTATCTATTCTGATCCCCGTTATGTTATTAGTCCCTCCAGGTAACTTCTACTTCATCTGTCCGATACCTGTGGAAAAACAGAAAAAAACCTGGTGGAGGGCTCTCTCCCAGCACTTTCCATTCTTCTCTGCCCTCCAATTCCTGCATTCTCCTCCCTGCTTTCTGCCTACCTCCCATATAATCCAATCTACCTCCTCCAAAGAGTGACTCACTCACCTCTGTGTAATCCCAGACTCACTGAGGGGGGTCCTGTGTCCAGCCTGAAACATCTCCCAGCCAGCCTGAGCGATCATGGCTCCATTGTCAATGCAGAATCTGGTAGGGAGGAGAGACATAAAATTTGGGGTCTAACGGGAGAAAATCAAAGAACTGGAGAATAAAAGAAATCAAGAAATGGAGAGGGCTGTACCTCTCATCTGTGGCAAAGAGCTGGGCTCCGCGTTCCTGGCACATTGTTTCCATCATCTCTTGCAGCCTTACGTTACCTATGAAGAGATCGGGCACAGAGTCAGTGTCACTTTAGCCATCTCTGCACAGTCCAGCTGTACTCATGTGCACTTACTTCCACAAGGAAGTAGGGGACCAGGGACAAGGACTGGGAAGCACAGGACAAGAAATGAAACTAATACTTCCCCTGAGCCCTTAGTGATTTAGAACACAAGGAGGAAGAAGCACACTGCCAAAAACAGGAAGGAGGAACACTATGCGACGATACGTACACCCGACACCTCCCACAATGAGGGCTTCCTGGGAGCCACAGTGTGCCATGGCTCGCTCTGTGATCTCTACCAGCATTGCAAACACGGTTTCCTGTGGAGGACAGACAAGGTGAAAACATCAGAGCGCATCCCAGCTTAATCTGACCCAACTTGCTGTTCCATTTTTTCATCCTATTACCTGCAGAGAGAAACACAAATCTTCAGGAGTACACTCGCCTGTGGACAGCATCCGTTCAGCTACATCCTATAATTAAAGGGGGAAAAGAAAACAAACAATAAAAAGTGGTTCTGGGATTACAAGAAAGTGAAAATTAGCACACGCCAAGAATCGTGCTTCCCCAAAATTCGGGTTACCAGCACATTCCTCACCACACACTGCCCTTCATGGGCAGCAAGCTAGAGATTGGGAGCAGCACTCATTTAGGATTCAACGATTATTTCTTGAATACTTGCCCTGATATCTCACACCCCTTACTTATCCTTCACAGCACTGATGACTGACACTTCATACTTTACTGTATTGCTCTCCTTGCCCTCTCTTCCTTCTCTCATTCCTTCTTTTTTCCTAGTTCATCTCTCCCCCAAGTAAGAAGGGAATTTTTATCTGGCTCCACTATGTACCCTTATTGTCTAGAACAGTGCCTGTCATATATAAGATATTCAACACACACCTGATACGTGAATTTATTAAGCAGCTGATACGGGACAGTACGATGCAATATGCATAACATAGAGCAGTGAACACACAGAGACGCTTCATTTATAGATCAGGAAAGCACTCCCATCTCCTCACCATTCTCATACTCACTTCAATGAAAGACAAGATCCCTGAAAAAGAGACGTCCATTCCCTTTACAGTGTACGGCAGCTCAACTAGCTTCTTGCCTCTGTGGGAATGAATAAGTATAGGAGGCGCTAAGCCGATAGTCAGCTGGCTGGCTGCTTTCCCTCCAAAACCTCATTTTCTATGTGTTTCCATATTTATATATATGTATGTGTGTGTGTGTGTGTTTCTATGTTTCCATTTTTATATATATGTATGTGTGTGTGTGTGTGTGTGTGTGTATATATATATACACATACATACATACATTTCCCTTTCGAAAGTACCCAGGGAGCCCCAGCAGCTAGCCCCTTACTGCTTTGCCATCTGTTCGATGTTGTATCCTGGACTTGGGTCATTGGAAATCTAACAGGAAAAAAAAAAAAAAAAAAAAAAGAAAGTGAATAGAAGAGAATGAAGATAGGAAGGAAGCAAAAGAAACGTATTTATGACTCCCTCCCTCCATGTCCATGGCTCCCAGAAATTTATCCACGCCTTGTGCTTTCCTCAGCACCAACAGCTTACCTTCAACACGCGAGCAAAACGATCCAGACAGTTACCAACGGCTATATCAATGGTTTCCCCGAAGATGCGATAGCGATGTTCTGAGTATGCAATCACCTAAGGGTGATGAGGATGTCCATGAAACCTCAAGTCTGCAAAGAGGAGTATTTGACTTTGGGGAAGAACATAGCAGAGGTTCAACATGGCGAGTAGACCTTCTAGTAAGAAACGGAAAAGAAAATGCTTTCCCAAACCCTGAATGAATAATATTTTTAAATCTCTTATCTGAGAAGCCCATATACTCTGAGGATTTCCAGAGCAGATTCCTAATCTACAGAAAATAATCAGGGAAGAAACACATATATTTTAAATACACGTGTCTAGCTGAGAGGTTCCTGATATATCCTGTAGAAGCAATCCTAACAGGCCTTGCTGCTTGGAGGCAGGAAATGAGAGTTCTCCTAGATTATCCCACCACGGCAGTGACACAAGAGGCAGAGGCGAAGAACTCAAAAATGTCATATGGCATCAGACAAATGGCCCACTCAACTCAAAAATGACTTTCCACTTAGGCCATTCTTCACGTGACTAACGTCTAGCACCTACCTGTATATACACTCCATATTTCTACCACTGAGGACCTCCTACGGATCACAATCAGTGCTGTTAAGGATTTCCTTCCACTTATACAGCCCTTACTCTCTGTCTAAAAGCAGGAGACAAAAGGGGAAGAAAGAAATCTTGCCTTTCTACTTGTTACCTAATCCTCCCCACCCAATCACCACCTGTTTTTCACATCTAAGCAAGCTTCAAAAGGATGGGGGTGGGGGGCCAGCAGCTGTCATGGAGGTTAAAATGGCTGGATCTCACATGGCTGATTGTGCAGTTTGAGTCCATCTGGCAGCTTGAAAATCACACCAAAGGGACCAGCAGTTAGCATAATGGCTATGTCGCTGGACTCCCCCGTAGTCGACCGCGGTTCGAGTCCCAGACCCAGTGGCTTAAACTCACACCGGGTGCGTGTGCGTTCGTGCCCAAGATCCCAAGAGGAGAATGGAGGAGAAGGGATTGCGGCGTGACCATCCCCCCAGGGGGGTGATTTCTCGCTTTCTGTCTCTATGTCTCTCTCTGTCTGTCTGGCAAGAGCATGTGCCCTATAGCAAAAACCTCTCCAAAAAAGAAAAAAAGAAAATCACACCAGATACATGTACGTGTGTGCCCAAAATTTAGAGGAGAGAATAGAGATAAACTGATTGTGACATGGCCATCCCCCCTAGGGGGTGGGAGGTTCTCACCATATTCCTCACCCCTGCTCTCGCTCTGGTGAGCACACATGCCGTGTAGCAAAACAAACAAACAAAAAAGGATTTGGGAAGATACAGCTGGTGGCATGGAGGTAAGAGTGGCTGGATATACATGGTCGATTACAAAGGTGCCTGGTAAAACATGATGGGTACATGTATGTGCATGGGAAATTGGGAAAGGGATTGTGGAATGATCATCCCCCATGGGAGTGATTTCTCAGCTCTCAATTCCCACCTCCAGAGAGCACACATCCCTTCTGGCAAAAATAAAACAAGAGAAAGGGGGAGATGAAGAAGAGAAAATGGTACCACTGCTCCCAGTCATCAACTCCTGTAGTATCTACTATTACTTTCCACAATCTAAGTACCTACTTTGTCTGTCATCTTCTAGGCCTCAACCAGATACTTGCCTTCTACAGGTCAAAGTCTCACAAGTAAGCCTCACCCTTTTTAAAAAAAATTATTTTATTGAACTTTATTTATTCATTCACTTGTTTATTTATTTTAATTTGACCAAAGGGACAGACAGAGTAAGAGAGAGAGAAAGTGAGAAGGCAAGCTGCAAGGTCCAGGACTTGAACCGCGGTCAACCATGTGGGAGTCCAGCTCCCTTAACCACCATGCCACCTGCCAGCCCCGAGCCTCACCTTTAATAAGTTCACAAGATGAAGTTTTAGACCACAACCCTTTCAGGTCAGCCCTAGCCTAGTGGTCAAGGGAAGCATATCCCACATGGTAGATCACAGTTGAAATCCTGGCTCCAGTGGTTTGAAAAACACACCAAGCACATGTGTATACATGCTCCCAAGTCCAAACAGGATAGAGAAATGGAGAAGGGACTGTGGAGTGATGACACGTCATTGGGGGGGGGGGGTGTTTTCTCCCTGTCTCTCTGGTAAGCACACATAACCCCTGACAGGGAAGAAAACAACAACAACAACAACAACAACAACCAGAAACAAACAAACAAAAATCCCTTCATAAACTGGGGACAATGCTGAAAAATTTCTAACAATAATCTGGCAGGTGTTTTTTTGGAAACCATTCAATCCCAACCTTAAAAGGCCATGTAAGGTATTTCAAACAGTTTCATCTTCACCTGTAAATTTAAAATACCTTCTACCACTTATCAAGTTTTTACAAATTATTTATAACTAGCAGGTGGCCGGGTCATTAAGATGGCTAGATCCCACATGGCCAAATGTATGATTTCAGTCCAGGACCCAGTGGCTTGAAAAACATGCTGGGTGCATATGCATGCACACCCAAAATCCCAGAAAAAGGGAGAAATGGAGAAGAGATTGCAGTGTGACCATCCACCACTCTGGGGTGCTTTTTCACTTTTTCTGTCCCTCTCCAGCAAAAGCACACACCCTCTGGGAATTTTTTTTCTTTTTTAAGTTATTTATAGGGACCAGCAGCTGGCATAATGATTATGTTGGTGGACTCCCATGTAGTCGACCGCAGTTTGAGTCCTGGACCTGGTGGATTAAACTCATGCCAGGCGCATGTGCGCGTGTGCCCAGAATCCCGAGAGGTGAATGGAGGAGAAGGGACTGCGGCGTGGCCATTCCCCCTGGGGAGTGATTTCTCGCTTTCTGTCTCTCTGTCTCTGTCTTTCTGGCAAGCACACCGGCCCTACAGCAAAAACCTCTTCCCAAAAAATAAATTAAATAAATAAATAAATAAGCTGTTTATATTTTTATACTCTTAGGATAACAAACCTGTGTATTTGCCATCAGTATTGTGAAATAAAACATGTGGCTGTCGCAAAGGAGTAAGTCAGGTAGTATCCTTAGTTTTGTTGTTTCATTTTTTAAATTTTGCCAGGGGCACATGTGCTCCCCAGAGAAAGACAAAGAGAAAGCACAAGAGCAGCCTCCGTGGAAGATGGTCATGCACAATCCTTTCTCCTCCATTTCTCATTCCTTTCAGGATTTTGGGAAACACACCCGTGTCCCCCCGGCATGGTTTACAAGCCCCTGGATCCAGGACTCAAACTATGCAGTTGGTCATGTGGGATCCAGCTGCCTTAACCACCTTGGCACCAGCATACCTGCCTCTTAGTTTTTATTGCTAAGATTTACCAAAAAATGGGGCCAGCAGGTGGCATAGTGGTTAAAGCCCTAGACTCTCACATGGCCGACTTAGTTCAGGTCCTGGACCTAGTAGCTTGCTTTCTCACTTTCTGTTTCTCTCTCTCTGGTCTAATTTTAAAAAAATAAAATAATTCTTTAAAATAAGATTTATTAAGGTTGGCAGGTGGTGCAGTGGTTAAGGTGCTGGACTCCCAAAAGGCCAACTGCAGTTTGAATCCCGGGCCTGGTGGTTTGCTTTCTCACTCCCCCACTTCATCAAATTAGAAATTAATAACAACAATAAATGTTTAAAGAAATTTCCCCAAAATAAGTTATCAAATAATAATGAGTCAAAAAAAATTTTTTTCACTATTTTGAAGGCTTATGTCTTTACTGTTCTTTTTTTCTCTAATACTAGAAACTTCTAATCTTTGGGACCAGCAGATGGCATAATGGTTACATTGCTGGACTCTCATGTAGTCAACCATAGTTTTGAGTCTTAGACCTGGTGGCTTAGAACTCATGCAAGGCATGTGTGTGTGCATGCCCAAAATCCCAAAAGGAAAATGGAGGAGAAGGGTCTGTGGTTATATCCATGCCCCCTGGGGGGAGACTTCTCACTTTCTGTCTGTCTCTTTCTGGTGAGTGCAAGTGCCCTAAAGCAAAAATCTCTCTTTAAAAAAAAAAAAAAAAAAGATTAAAATTTTAATCTCTATAATCACAAATATAGAAGTCATCTAATGTTTTCATTGTCCTGTACAATCTTTTTCCTTTTTTTTTTTTTACAATTTTTTAAAACAAATTGTTTAATTCCATTTGTTATTATTATTTTTTAATTTGACTATAGAGAGAGAAAGGGAAAGTGAGAAAGCAAGCTGCCAGGTATGGGGTATGGGACTTGAACTGCAGTCAGCCATGTGGGAATCCAGCTCCTTTAACCACCACATCACCTGCTGGCCCCTCCTATACAATTTTGAGTGTTACGCACTCTGTTGTGAGTTTTCTGATCTCTCTCTTTTTTTTTTAATAAGGTTTTTGCCATAGGGCACATTCACTCGCTAGAAAGAGAGAGAGAGAAAGTGAGAAATCACTGCCCCCCAGGAGGATGGCCACTCCACATTCCCTTCTCCATTCTCTGAGGATTTTGGTCTCACATGCACATAAATCCAGCATGATTTTCAAGTTAATCAGGTCTGGACATGGAGAGTCCAGTGCCTTAACCACCAAGCCAAATGCTGGCCTCTGGTGTAAGATGTTTTACAGTCAGATGAACCCAACTTTGTTCTCGCAGTTTCCACAACTCAGAATAAGGAAGCTGATAGTTCAGTGCCTCAGATGTTAAGATGGAATGACTAGTGTTCTACATACCTGTGTATTTCCCCCACTGACATATAGCACAGTCGGGCTGGTGGCTCCAGTGATGAGGCGACCCATCTCAATGTGGCCTATGCAGTGGTTCACACCCAACAAGGGCTTATTCCATAGTTGGGCCACAGTACGGGCCACAACGGCCACAGAAGCCAGCGGAGCACCCATGCCAGGGCCTAGGAGGACAGAAATGGGAACTAGAATCTTAGAAACTGGAAAAAAACAAGAGGAGGATAGTTATGATAACAGAGATGAGGTGTGGGATATTTTTGACCTCGCCAGGCCCCAGGTACACTCATCCAGGGTTGACCATTCTCCCAACCATACCTTTGGTGTAAGCAATACAATCGATATCCTGGGAGGTTAAGCCAGCCTCTGTTAGTGCCTCTTGCAGCAGGTCTAGGATAACAGCTCGGTGGTGCCGGGCAGTATCACCTGGAAGGAATCCTAGGAAATGGACACAGGTCTGAGATCATAGTCTTTCTGTAACAAAGGTAGATAAAAATAAACACACACACACACATACATTAAAACAAAACAAAACAAAACAAAACAAAACAAAAAACAAACCTAGTAGCTATAGTAAAACAGAGAGTTTTTTTCACTCTTCTCAAGCATCCTTCTAAGTTTTGAGATATTCTCTTCTCAGACTCTATAAGGCTATTTAACTTTCAGAAATGCCTTTCATACTCAACTCACATTCAGCTTTCAGGACTCAATTCAAAACCTACTTCATATTGTCTGGTGGCCTCTCTGACACTACAGAATCCTATGTATAATTTTATCACTGTACTTAACACAACAATTACAGAACTTACACATATCTGTAATTTCCCCAGTTTAACTACACATACCTCAAAATACTATTTTATTTACTTTTGCATTACCATTGCCTCAGTGCCTCGAAAAATAAGTGCTAAATGGTGTATCTATAGTATTTCTGAGTAACCTGTCACATCACCTGTTCTGAAAGATTTTTTCAGGTATATGCAAATCGGTTGCCTTCACCTATACAGATGTTTTGGGGGAGGGTAAGCAATATATAATGGCCCATAAGTAACATTCACTAAAAGTTTTAGTAAGTCTGATACTTTCATTCAATCCTTGAAATGGAATGATACAGGTATTATCCCTCATTTTAACAGTAAGAAACAGATGTCTAAAACAAAATTGAATAGCTGTATCACAAAAACAGTTCTTGCTGATACCTAAGCTGGGAGGCATTCCACTCATCTGTCTCCTCTTCATTTTCTCAATTCCATTTCTGTATACCATTGACCATGCTACAGTATGAAAACCCGTTCATAGGTCCAACTCCACAGGAGGCTCATAACATCTACTTTTGAATGATCAGCATAAAAAAAGTGCTTAATAAAAGGTGAAAGAGCCCAAAAGACCCAGGTTCAAGAGCCCCAGCCTCTGGTTGTGAGCGTTGTCACATGAAGATGTAATCTCGACAAGACTCGGATCAAAGCTGTAAGAGGGAAGTGCACCCCAGGTCCCACGTAGCTAGTGTTTTGGAAGGCGGGAGGGGTGAAAAGTGTGCCGCCACGTGGAGCCCCCTCCCTACTCGCTCACCTGTGCCTGGAGGCGTGACGTAAGTCCGCCGCGGGTTCGCCAGCACCTCGCCATCCCGCACCACTCCCACGCCAATCTTGTTGGCGCTACCTTCAAAACCCAGCACCACTGGCATGGCAAAGCCTGAGAGAAAACGGCGGCAGGGATGCTAGAACTTATGGGGCTATGGAGGTGCTCACTACTCCGTGCCGGGTCGCAGACGTCGGGGCGCAGAGGAAAAGCACGAGCCTGTGGGCGTGGGACAGCACATCGTACCCGGACTACACAGAACTCCCGCGGGAGGAAGGGAGCCCGTGTCCCCTGCGCCGGGCGCGGGGACCCGTCAAGGCCCCTTCAAGACCTGTCTTCCTAACTGCCGGGGACGCGGAACCCGCCTCCGCGCCTCCCACACCTACCTGGCCCCCTACCTCTCTCGTGTGGTCCGGTCCAGCCTTCCTCCACCGACTTTTTTTCTCACTCGCCCAGTGCTGCGATCTTCTGTCAGCGTCATAAAACAAGGAGTCCATCCGGCACAACGATGAACAGCCCGGACGCGGGTTGAGGACTTGAGTCTCCAGGAAGGGCTAGAGGAGAACCGAAACACTGAGCCTCTTCGTCACGTGGTGCCTAAGCCACCAATCACCTGCCCGCTTCGGTCACGGACGCGACGCGCGCGTCACGTGACCACGCTAGTTCCCCACGTGTGGGCGCAGCGTGCTCTGTTCTTTGTGCTCGGGTGAGGAGGAGCCTGGCTGCGACCCGTGCAGGTCTGATGCTAGGTTGCTGTTCTGCTCACGGGAGGAGCTTTGGTGGCCGTCTGACCGGCACGCCCAAGTCCGGATCCTTAGTTAAGCTCCTTAATTGGCCGTAGGGCAGATCTCGCGAGGAGGGCTAAGGCCACAGTGGTCTAGATACGTGGGTGAGGGGCTGAAGGGCAGAAGATCACGGAGGCGGGGAAGGGATTCAGAAATACTTAGGTGTGAAGGGCTGGACCTCATGCGGGGGTGGCCGTGGAAGGAGTATTTAACTCAACCTGAGCTGGTTTCACGATTTTTGTTTTTGCGTCCGTAGGCCACGCGGTTAAAATACTGCTTCAGTGGGCGACATTGTACAGGTGCCGAAGGGCGTCGGTTGCAGGGATGCCGAAGCGTGGGAAAAAGGGAGCGGTGGCAGAAGACGGGGAAGAGCCCAAAACAGGTCAGAGAATAAAATGAGTCCCTTTCCTTACAGGTTGCGGTTGGGGTTTTCTAATTCCCTTTGAACAGTAGATGTGGACTGACTCATTTTTGCAGGAGTTTATGAAGTAGCGGTATCTGCAGGGCTGTGGGTCTGTAGTTAACTCTGAATCGAGGTTGGAGACTGCCAACATTTATCACTGTTACTCATTTTATAGAACCCGAGGCCAAGAAGAGTAAGGCTGGAGCAAAGAAAAGCGAAAAAGAGGCAGCAGGAGAGGTCCCAGCCTTGTATGAAGATCCCCCAGATCAGAAAACCTCATCCAGTGGCAAATCTGCCACACTGAAGATCTGCTCCTGGAATGTGGATGGTCTTCGAGCCTGGATTAAGAAGAAAGGTTTGGATGTAAGTGGAACTCAGGGAGGAGTGGATACATTCTTAGAATTGAATAACCTGGAAATGTAATCAACACTTCTTGTTTTAGTTCTCAGGATGTAAATTTTACTTTTTTCCTGCCTGTGGTTTTATCGTGGCAAAGGTACTGGGGGGCTGTCACCAAGTGTTGCCAGTTTTTTTTTTTTTTTTCCCTTTTAAGAGAGATTATTTTTGGTGTGCCATATGTGGGCTCCCCAGAAAGAGAGAAAGCAAGAAATCAACCCCTGGGGGGCAAGGGGTGTTGCACAGGCAAATCCCTTCTCCTATCGCCTCTCAAGATGTAGGGTGCATGCACACACATACACACACCTAGCATGAGTTTGAAGCCACCAGGTCTGGGACTCTATAACCATGGTCTACTAGTGGGAGTCCAGCAACGTAACCATTTGTTAGTTCCGCCAATTGTATTTTCTAAATATTTATTATTCATTCTACTGTCATTGTTTTAATGTCCTCTCCCTCAGAATACTGCAAATGCCTCTTTCTTCTTAGAATAAATATTTAACTTTACGTATTTATTTAAATTTGACTAGAGAGGGACAGTGAGAGAGAATGTGAGAAAGCAAGCCACCAGGTCTGGGATCAGTACCATGGTGGACCCTTGGGAGTCCAATGCCCTTGACCACCATACCACCTGCTGGCCCCATAAATACCCCTTTACTAGACTTCTGTTCTGTATAGAGCATATCCTCTGTTCTAGTAACTACATAAATATCTTAGGGCTATTCACTGCACATAGAAAAAACAATTTTCTTAGTATAGCTGGTACTATTTCTTCCCTCTGTTTTTAGATACACTATTTATTTTTTTTTTAATTTTATCTTATTTGGGAACCAGCAGTTAGCGTAATGGCTATGTCACTGGACTCCCACGTAGTCGACCGCAGTTTGCGTCCTGGACCCGGTGGCTTAAAACTCATGCCGGGTGCGTGTGCGTGCGTGCCCAAGATCCCAAGAGGAGAATGGAGGAGAAGGGATTGCGGCGTGACCATCCCCTCTGGGGGGTGATTTCTCGCTTTCTGTCTCTATGTCTCTGTCTGGTGAGCACACGCGCCCTATAGCAAAAAACCTCTCCAAAAAAGAAAAAAAAATTTATCTTATTTAATTTTATTAATACTACTATGTTTTAATTTGACTAGAGAAAGAAAGAGAAAAAGAAAGTTTGAGAGCAAGCCACCAGGTCTGAGACTCGAACTGCAGTCAGCCATGTGGGAATCTAGTGTCTTTAACCACCATACCACCTGCCAGCCCAGACAGACATATAGTTTATAATGATTTAAATATCATGGTGCTATGAGGACCAGCAGGTAGTGTGGTGGTTAAGAGATGCTGGATACTCGCACATGGCCGACCATGGTTTCAGTCCTGGACCTGATGGCTTGTTTGCTTTCTCTCTCTCTGGTCAAATTCTCATTTTGTATGCTGTAATGATGTATAGTGAATGAACAAAATTTTTAAAAATGATAAAATAAAAATTAAATAAATAATTAAAAATAATAAATCAGTGAAACTTAAGTAATTTTTAAAAAAGAAAAATTGTGGTGCTAGACTGTTGAACTCATGCCCCAGGACTTTGTTTCACCTGTATCTATTACTTACCACATAGACTGTTTGATAAATACCTGCCGAATTGATCATTTTCCTACCCTTCTTTTCACTCAGTGGGTAAAGGAAGAAGCCCCGGATATCCTGTGCCTCCAAGAGACAAAATGTTCAGAGAACAAACTACCAGCTGAACTTCAAGAGTTGCCTGGATTATCCCATCAGTACTGGTCGGCTCCTTCAGACAAAGAAGGATACAGTGGTGTGGGCCTCCTTTCCCGCCAGTGCCCACTCAAAGTCTCCTATGGCATTGGTGAGTCTGTTACAGATTTCTAGTGTGTGAGCTCTTCCAAACCAAGTGCTAATACTGCATCTCTTGGTTCCTTTAGCATTTCTTAATTTTTTTATTTTATCTTTTCTGTAGGTGAAGAGGAACATGACCAGGAAGGTCGGGTGATTGTGGCTGAATTTGACAAATTTGTGCTGGTAACAGCTTATGTGCCTAATGCAGGCCGGGGTCTGGTCCGACTAGAGTACCGGCAGCGCTGGGATGAAGCCTTTCGCAAATTTCTGAAAGGCTTGGCTTCTCGCAAGCCCCTTGTACTTTGTGGGGACCTCAACGTGGCTCATGAAGAAATCGATCTTCGCAACCCCAAGGGAAACAAAAAGAATGCTGGTTTTACTCCTCAAGAGCGCCAAGGCTTTGGTGAATTGCTACAGGCTGTGCCACTGACCGACAGCTTTCGGCACCTCTACCCTGACACGCCCTATGCTTACACCTTCTGGACTTACATGATGAACGCTCGATCCAAGAACGTTGGTTGGCGCCTTGATTACTTTTTGTTGTCTCAGTCTCTCTTACCTGCATTGTGTGACAGCAAGATCCGTTCCAAGGCCCTTGGCAGTGATCACTGTCCCATAACCCTCTACCTAGCACTGTGACATTCCCCCGCCCCAGTCACTTTGAGCCTGGGAAATAAGCCCTCCAAACTAGCATTTCTTCCTCAAAAACGCTAGAGAATTCTAAACTGTATTTGTCTTCTATAAAAATATAGTCTCCAACCAGGCTCCTGTGACAGACTTAGATTTCTTTTAAAGCCCAAAGGTATTTGTTTTGTGGGATGTTTTCTTTTAAAAAAAAAATTGAAAGCTACTGATGACTTCCTTTGAACTATCCATGTGAAAATAAAAAGCCATAGTTTCAGCCTTGCCATCTGTGTTTTGCCCCTTTGTGAGGCTACAAATTATCCTCTTAATCTTTTCACAGATATATGTGTATATATATGTAAGTTAAAACAACTGGAAAAGGGTAGAATCATGACCTTTTTTATTTACAAGCACAGGATGAGTCCCTAACCTCCCCCAAACAGCAACCCTACCCAGTTCAGTTAAATACTGCAACTGGGGAGTAAGGAAGGTTGGAAGGAGGAATTAAGGGAGATACAGGACGGGGAACACACCCCACATTAAATAGTTATATATACATCAGTTCTTGTGGTTCTGTACAGAGCAGCGGCTGACCCCACCCCCACAGGACAGGGAAAGTGGGGGAAGGAGGGTACTGAGGCCAGAGCCAGCCCCTGGTAAGTGCAATAGCAGCAGCAAGGTCCTAATGGTGCACAAGAGGGAGGGGAACCCCCAGGGCTACCCACCCTCACCCTGCCCTGGAATGTTTAAGGGACAGGAATGGCTCTCAGGGAGTATATAGGAAGGACAAGGCTAGAACCATCTTTAGGACCCAGGTTTAGGGGCAACATTTTGCCTACTTCACCCTAAACACAGCAACCCTTGGAGGAAAGCAGATGGCCAGTAGTGGCCTCATCTACTACTCCAAACCTAAGTAAGGGCCTGGTTCCTTCCTACTTCTCCCCAGGAAAAAGGAAGGCAGCTGCTTGGCTTCTTTATCGAAGCCCAGGGAGCCTTTATCCCAGCTCCCCTGTAGTGTCACTGTCCCCCACCAGGGAGGGGCCAGGCACAGTCTGTGGGTCATCATGGGTGGGGCTCAGGAAAAGTTCTGAACAGGGTGGCTGACCTTCATACAGGCCCAATAGAGGGCCCGTCCCAAACACAGCACAGCCAACAGGATGACAAACGCCCAGGCTGCATAAATGCCTCCGTATCGTCGTGCATGCTTCCATGTGCCAAACTGACAAAGATAAAAAATGAAGAAGAAAGATGAGATTACTGTTGATCTACTACTTCCTAGAAGCTCTAGAACAGTAATGCCAAACTCAAGCTTCAGTTCCTATATCCAAGTATAGCCACCTTCAGGGACCTTTTCAAATGCTAGGCTGTTTAGTTCCCTTTCCTCTGGCAAGAACATACAATTGGGCCAGGATGCCTCATAGTAACCTTTTTCTTTTTTGAAAAAAAGTCAGTGTTTTTATTTAAATTTGTTACAGGAAGTGTCCACCCCATTTTCTTGAGACTTTAGGCACTCGTGCCTAATAGTGACTCTTAATGTAAGCCACTTCTCCACTGAACTACCTTGTACAGAGAAAAGACAGCTGTTTTTTTATTCCTTCAATAACAACAAAGACTGCTTATCAGTCATTTTCAACTTTAGCTCATCTATACCTTAAACACCCACCCCTGGTTTCTTCCTTTTTTTTAGGATAGTCATTTCTCAAATCTTAGTCTATGGAGATGAAGCTGAAGAATGAAAAGATTTGGGTCAAGGTTACTCACAGCAAGGCCAGTGGCAGTGACTGCCAAGAGTAAGCCAAGCAAAAAGCAGCAGATACATCTCTTTCGCGGATATCTGCGTCCAATAGATGACCTGTGGGGAGGCAAACAGGAATGGTGCTTGCAATGGCACTGCAGTTTCTACTCCACACATTGATCAGCCAATTTTCAGCTCGATTCCTAATCACTTACACTTTTCTGCAGTGAGGGCAGCGTGCCAAAGTTCGGTCTGTGAACTCTGTCCACTACAGAGAAAGAAAAACAAATGTAATGAATAGTACAAACAGGGTCCTCATCAATGAGAACATTGGGGTAGGGAGAGGGTGGGAAATGTGTCCCATAAAACAGTCCTTCTTAGGATTCATTATTACGCAGAAAAATATGTTCATTAAAAACAAAACAAAACAAAAAACAGGGACAAATAGATGGTGTAATGGTTTCATCACTGGACTCCCATGTAGTTGACCATGGTTTGAGTCCTAGATCTGGCAGCTTAAACTCACACAAGGCACATGCCCATGCAAGTTAAAGATCCCAAGAGGAGAATGGAGGAGAAGGGATTGCAGCGTGGCTATTCCCCAGGTGGTCTTTCTCACTTTCTCTCTGTCTCTGGTGAGCGCATGTGCCCTACAGCAAAAACCTCTCCAAAAACAACAACAACAACAAAAAATTATCTATCTGTTGTGATTTTCAAGCTACCAGGTCTGGGACTTGAACCATGGTTGGCCAAAAGGGAATCCAATGCCTTAACCACTATGCTCTCTGCTAGCCAAAAATACTCTCATTTTTATTCCTAGTTTGTTCCCACCCACACCCCCAGGGCTTTGCAGATACCCCTCCTCACCAGAAAAGTATTTTTGCAATGTCCACAGATGACCCTGACGCCTACAGGTTGTGGGTCTGGACTCAGAGGTCCTGGATGCACAGGCCCCAAGTTGATGATTCTTTTGCTGTGCAGGAGGGAAAAAAAAAACAAAAACAAAAAACACCTTTGTTTAAAAAGTTAAGCTTGGGAACCAGCAGTTAACGTAATGGCTATGTCACTGGACTCCCACGTAGTCGACTGCGGTTCGCGTCCCGGACCCGGTGGCTTCAAACTCACGCCGGGTGCGTGTGCGTGCGTGCCCAAGATCCCGAGAGGAGAATGGAGGGGAAGGGATTGCAGCGTGACCATCCCCCCTGGGGGGTGATTTCTCGCTTTCTATCTCTATGTCTCTCTCTGTCTGTCTGGCGAGCGCACGCGCCCTATAGCGAAAAACCTCTCAAAAAAAAAAAAAAAAGTTTTTAAGCTTAAGGATTCCCATGCTGTCCTTCCACCCCTCCCTCCCCAAAATCCCTGCCTTCCATCACATTCCTGTAGTCCTCTCTACATTTGAGATAGTGTTAGGACCAGCAGACGGCGTAATGGTTAGGTCTCTAGACTCAAAAAGTCGACCAGGATTTGAGTTTTGATCTGGCAGCCTAAAACTCACATGAATCCCAAGAGGAGAATGAAGAAGGGATTATGGAGTGGCCCCACACACACACACACTCTCCCTCGGTGATTTCTCACTTTCTGTCTCTCTGGCGAGCACATGTGCCCTATAGCAAAAATCTCTCTCTAAAAAAATGGGGGAGGGGGCAGCAGTTGGTGTAATAGCTATGTCACTGGACTCCCATGTAGTCAACTATGGTTCGAGTCCTGGACCCGGTGGCTTAAACTCACGTGCCCAAGATCCTGAGAAGGGAATGGAGAAGGGATTGCAACGTGGCCATCCCCTCTGGGGGGTGATTTCTGACTTTTTGTCTCTGTCTCTCTCTGTCTTTCTGGCAAGCGTATGTGTCCTATAGCAAAAACCTCTCCAAAACAAACAAACAAACAAAATAATAATTAAAAAAAAAAGATACTGTCCCCCAGACCTTGCCACAGAGCATCCCAAGAGCACTGTTTAAACTTCAAGTCTCCAATGACTCTTTAACCTCAAGATAATTTACACAGTATCTGAGGCTCTTCATTCTAAAAGGTACCATTTCATCCTAATCTTTTTACTGACAAATATGAAAGATGGCCAAACATTCCTGATACAATGCTCCATAGCTATTTCTTCTTCTAAACATCAGGCTTTCCTGCCAGGCTTTTTACATTCCCTGTAAACATTCATCCTGTTTTGGCTTTCCAATTTTCCCCACTTAGGCCTTTCCCCACTTTATGCCTCTTACCAGTAGGGCCTTGGGCAGGCAATCCGCTGGGAAGTCACTTTGCAGATAAGGAGACAGTTACATGGACAGCGAACATACTTTTTCCCTGGAGGTGCGTTCTTGATTGGCTAGAGAACAAAGGGGACATCAGGAAGCAAACGTGTTTTCCCAATCCCATCCACTTCCCTCCCTGAAGAGAGATCAGAGTTAAGGCCCTAGACAGGAAGGAAAAACTGAAGAAAGACATATAGTATTGTGAGATTTGCAAATGCGAACTACATTTAAGTATCCAGGATAAGTATAAAGGAGAGGGATGATAAACATTAGATTAGCTTTGGCGAGTAGGTTTATGGGGAAATGGCTGCATGAGAATACTGGAACTGAAACCTGGGTTTCATGAAGTGCACTTGGTTAATGCCTGAAGGTCAGAGTCTAGAATCAAGAGATCGCAGAAAGAATCCTGGGCCCATGTCAAAGATGTGTATAACTCACGGTGGCTTCATTGCAGACACCACATTTGACTACATGCTGATGCATCTTGCCTTCCACGTTGATGAGAGATTGGCAGACTCGGCAGGTGATCATGGGGGCACTCCCACTATCTGGGCTAGTCAAGGGTGAGTAGGGCGGTGGGTCTTCCCCAGGCAACACGGCTGGATGCCCCTCAGGGAATGGGGGAAACGCTGGAGGAAGCAGATACAAAGAAGGGCTGGGATCACTTCCAGATACTGTACCCGACTAATGCTGCACGGGGGTAGGGCACTCTTTCTGATTCTCAATCCTTCTGACCAAGTTTGAAAGGCTTCTCATAGTCAGCGATTCTCACAGATCAGCTACCTCGGAACCCCCCTTGGTACCCAGGCCCTGGTCCAGCCTGCAGAGGGAAGAAAGCCTCGCCCTGTCACAGGTGCAACAGTTCAACACCTGGTGCTAGGGCGCCGCCTCCACTCTCGGCCCCACCTCCTCTCCGCCTCGCAGAGTAACCCCGGCAACACCTTGGATCCACCCCGGCTTACCCTGGGGCGGGGCATGTTTACCGGCTCCGTACGGTGGTGCGGAGGGGGTCAGGCCTCCCCCAGGCCCGGCACCAGTCCCGCCCGGCCCCACTAGACCGTTGCCACCGGCGCCACCATCGATGGGCTCGGAGAGCAGCGGGGAACGCTCTCCATCTGCCGCCATC